TTTTATATTTAAATAAATTTTAATATTTAATAACTTAATTAAATAAGACAGAATTAAAATTTTATTTTGAAAAAATATTTTATTAATATTTATTTAATATATTAATCTTTTTGTATTAGACTATATAAAATTATTTTATATCTTTTTATTAAAAAAATATAACTATAATAATAAATTTAATAAATTATATTTCTATTTATTATTTTATCTCAGATAAATAAAAAGAATATAAAATAAAAAATATTCTTTACAAATATATTTATTATTATAAATTTTAATATCTTATCAAATAGCTAAATTATTTATTTTATAATATTACTTAAAAATCTCTTAAAACTTAAATTATATTATGAAAAAAGTAAATATATTTAAAAATTTATATATTTGAATATAATAAAGATATTATATTTTAAAGTAAAAAAATATATAATTAAGTTTGATTAGATTATTTTCTTTTTAAATTAGATCTTTATTTTATATTCTTTATATTATATTTATAAGTTTATATTACTTTTCTTAAAGATTAATTTCATATTAAATATATAAATAATTATTATGTATTAAATTAATTAAATTAATACATATTATTATACCAATAATTACTATATATTTTGTAATTATTAATTTTGATAATTATTTTTCAATATTTTTTATATATTTCTTTTATTTTTTTATTTATTTTTTATTATTATTTATATATTATTTATTATATTTATAATTATGAATTAAGTACAAGATATATGCTTTAAAAAAGCATATTAATAAGCTTTCTTTATATTTAATTATATGTAATTCATATTTATTAGTTTATATTCTTAAATTATATATAAATATATTTCACTATTTTATACTTTAATATTAGACTTGATTACTATTCAAATAATAAAATTATAAATTATTTATATATTAAAATAAATTAATTCATATTTTTGTTTATTGCTATAAATAAATTTTATAAAGATAATATTATAAATGTATAAAAAATATATTTTATATAAAAAGTTAATAATATAGAAAAGAGAGATAAAATTGTAAATATAGGAAAATATTAGAGATAAGACTTGTAAAAGAATTCATATTGCAATTTCAAGTAATCAAAGAGATAATTAAAGCAAGAGCATATTTTTTTATTTACAAGATGATAAATATATGAATTTAATATATATAATAAATAGTGAGAAGAAAAAATAAAAGAAAATTAGTATGATGAATAAAAAAATTTTACTGATGAAAGATAGCATGAACCACTGACTTTGAACTAATTATTCCAGTTTTGATAAAATTTTCATGTTTATTAAAAGAGATTTTTTGTTAGAAATGATAAGTAGTAAGAAAAAAAATAGAAAAGTTATAATTTATAATTATCGAAGAATTGATATCCCAGTGTACATCAGCCACTCGGATCACGTGATGTACTACGCTTTAACCTTTCCCCTATTCAAGTAAAAATGCTATACTCGATTTATCTAGTCGGGATTAATCGAATGATAACGATAACGATAATAAATCCGAATGTTCTAAAGTGATCAAATTCACGATCATTTTTTTAATGATCGTCATCCTAAATTGATGATCGGAAAATTCATGATTTTTGGAAAATTATGGGGTCATTTAATTTCCTTCGACGTTTCGAAGTTCTGTTTATCGAGTTTTTACTTTTGCGTCTTGTGAACATAAGATCATTATTGTTAATTTAAAGTTAGTATTTGTGTTAAGGGGAAACACAATATCTTTAGTATAATACATGTAACAACAATAATAGATGTATCAGTTCCATCAATGATGATACATGTACTTATGGGGTATCATTTATACATATATGTACATGTATAATTTTGTTTCACAATATACATGCACATGTATCTAATCTAAAATACATGTATGTCAAAATCGTTTGCTTAAAATTGGTAAAAAAATGCTGCCTTTATTTAGACGAATTTGTGGTAGGCAAAAGGGAACTACGCTTAAAATAAAATGAGAACAGCTTGTGTTACATATGAAAAGATTTTAACATCATATCGTCGTCAAACAATATTTTCTTTTCAATTACTAAAGCGAAGTGTTTTTAAATTATTACTAAAGCGAAGTGTTTTTAAATTATCAGTTGTATAAAAAATAATATGAATCGCCCAGAAGGAACGTCGCGACCCATTGGAGGTGGATTCCAAATGGCACGCTGTTGTGGATGCATTCCTTTGAAAGCTGGTGTGGTGATTATAAGTCTCTTGTGGCTGGTAAGCTACTGTTTGAAAACTTATTATCTTATGTATCATATTCAATAAATTTGCGTTTTTTAATAATAAATAATTCGATTAAGGCTGCTTCAATTTATAATACTTTTACCTATTTTTCAATTTTTAATAAAAATGGTGAAAGCTCTAAAAATTGTAAGTTTAGATGTTTTATTCGTAATAAGACTCAAGAATTTTGTTTGATGACATTTCTAATTGATATTCATTTATGATAGTTTGGGGATGTATTGGACATTGGGTTTTAGTGTATGCAATTCTCGAAATTATCATAGCTCTCAGCACATTTTATGGATTAATTGTTGTAATAACAAGGGTAAGTTTATTCTATAAAAGATGACAGATTGTTAACGTTATTATATAAAGATAGATTAATTCACTAATTTCACTTTTAGAGAAAAATCAAATCCTTAAGCTACTATGTAATAATATCATGGGTTATCTTAACAATTGTGATAGCATTAGGCATTGCCAACATAATATTAGTAACTGTTCTAAAACAGCACTTTCTTGATTACTGCGATAATGGGGGAACATACACGTTGGATGAATGTAACTCGGCTTATGATGTTCTGCTACCATCTACGGTTACTGGCGCAATCATTGGTATTTTACTCGCGGTAAATAATTAGAAATTCTTTCTCGTCTAATACGTATCGAATTTTATTAATTATCTATCATTTATTTGTTTATCAGCTTTATTTTACATTAGTGATTCTCGCATATAGAAATTCACGTGTATTAAAAGAAGCGACGTATGGGCAACCGACACATCAAGCAATTTAAAGATTTTATGAGAGCAAATATGTGGTTCTTATCAATCAATTATCAATTTTGTATTTCTGAATCAGATATTTATTATTCTGTGAGAATAAATGTTATTCACCATATAATTATTATTTATTTTTTCGTATATTTATGTCAAATAATTTTAATTGTAAATAAGAAACATTAATGTTGTGCCTCAGATCGGTTCTTGTCTCAGGTGACAACTGAGGGCCAATCATTAGATGAGGCGCGTAACCTGTTGATTGATTATCTGAGGCACTTGAGTTGTTATCCGAGGCAGCGCAGTCATAATCTGAGATATCAATCAGTTGATCGATTAGTAAATTAAGCTGGCAACTCAATTAAATCGAACCAAGAAATCTGTGAAGTATTTTCCTTATATGGGACAGAGATGCTAATTGAAAGCCATACACCAATGCAGCTGATATTTGAAGCTTAGAATGTTTGTGCACGAGATTGTAACAGGTGAACCATTTGGTGTAGTGAGTGAAATCATGGTAGAGATCTTGTGCTATCTATAAAGGAGTACGACTTACGATACTGACTATTGTTCTCGGCCCGGATAATGCAAATATATTATTGTAATTGGGGATCCTATTTCAGGAAACAGACCAACTACTAAAGAACTTGATGGTTTATCAGATCTATCTACTTTATTGAAGATACCGTTACAAACAATTGGGAGTTGAAACTGAGTACTTTGCATTTTCATTACTACAACTCGTTAGAATATCTTAAAACAGTCAAAGAATGTCTTAAGCAAAAAATGTGGATATTAGATGAACTTGATGAGAAGATGAAATCACAAAAAATCCCTATAAATCAATATAAACAAAAACAAGAAATCCCACCATGCAATTAATACCAGTCGAATATTACCACAAAATTAAATTCAATTCCAACATCTATAAGTGTTCTTTTTTTTGTTCCATATGAAGGTAAAATTACTATTAATATTAATGTAGATTTTTCATTGATTTCTTTAATTAAGCATATTTTTCTTTGTGGTACAAAACAGTTCTGTAGTATGAGGATGTGCCGAACCAAAAGTGATTTCAATTCCTTTGTACACGCGTATATTTATCATTTAATCATACTCTTATCAATTCTATATCTTAAATGTATATTTCTAGTTTATATAGTTTCATAAATGAATGAATTATTGAAAAGTTAACATCATCATTATTGTTATTTCATTCATTACTTTCAACCATGCGAAATCAACTTTTCTACTTCAGATCTTTCGTTTATTTGATAGATGGTTTTAATACTACGTACACGTCAATTAAAATTTAAATCTGCATCCAAAGTGTTACTGTTATATATTTGCTAACAGCTGAGATGTCTTAGATAATCAAATCATCAGGTTACGCGTCTCACCTGATGATTGACATCTGAGACACAACATTAATAAATTATATTTGATTTTTTTGTGAATCTCATATCGATATATACACATGAAAAATAAATACTATATACTATATATAAAGGTTGCAATTCAGATCTATATACAATAGAATTTTCAAATCGAGCTTTTTTATTTGCGAAATACAACACATAATTTCTCATCAAATACATATTAATATGCATTACATGTATTAGGAGAAAAACAGTGAGATACTAAAGAAAAAGGAACAAATAATGGAATAAAGGATAGAGATAATGTATATGAAAGAAAAATAGGAGAAAGAAGTCAGATAAATATATATTTTATCAAGAAAATAACAAAGGAATATATAATATGAAAGTTACTATATTTATGAAACTATATTCTAGCACTTTCAAAATTATCATAAAATAAATATTATAAAAGATATTAAATCATTAAGATATAACTAGAAAATTAAAGAAATTATAATAATAAAATAAAACAAATCAAAAATACAATTAAAAATGATTAATTGTTCAGGTAAAATTAAACAAAATCAAAGTTTACTTTATTATTAAATTCTTGTTAATATATTTTAATTTGACTTTTATATGATAAGAGATAACTTATTCAAAAATTATATATTATCAAAAAGATGCAAAAACAAAATAAATTTAGAAAATAAAATAAAAGACAGGGAAAAATTAGAAGATTATTGGCGCAGTAAAAGTGATCTATGAAATTAAGAAATTAGCGTTGGATAAAAATTTGATCTATCGCTATGAAATTATAAATATGGCATGATCTTTTGAAATTACACAAAATTTACATGATCTACAAAATTAAAGAAATTAAGAAAATTTATAACAATACATTATAGTTTTTATGTTTGTTTGAAACTTCAAAATATAAGAAATCTGAAAATATCTTTTTTTTATTAATTGATTATCAAAATATTGATTTATCAATTCTTAAACTTGCTCTTTGTGAGGTTATTTAAATTTTTTTCAACTTTGAACGCTTATAAAATTAATTTTGATTTTTTATATGTTATACTCTTTGGTATTAGCTATTTTAAAAAAATTGCTCAAACTTATAAGTAAATAATTGTGTAAGTGAAAAAGACTGGCCGCCATTACTTTCGCCGGGGACTGTATTACTTGACAATGTCGAAACCATTTAGCACCTCTGGGCTATTAAAAATGCTCTGCAAATTTCTGGGTCGGAAGTCAAAATCCATTGAGCAATGTAATTCGTCATTGATGACATATTATAGGCGAAATTCCGAGTGAATGCTACTCTAGTTATGATAAATTGTCTTGCGAAATCAATTTTCCGCACGTGCGAGACTACCATTTGTTCACTATAGGCTTTCATATTTTAGCTGTGCACATTATTACATAATAATTTATTAGATTTAAGTTTATTTTGTAAAATTTGATTATACTAGAAAACAAAGTGTACGTTATTACCTCGTTTTTAATTTTATTATTTAGAATAGCTTGATTTTTTACTTTATGACAGATACCATATTATGTTATACATAATAAGAGAACATGTGCATTAATTAATTTAATTAAAGTGAATTTATACCTTTGAGTGAAAACATAAACTGTAAAATTATCTTTTTCAAAAATGTTAAAAGATAATAAGAATCTTAATAAATGGTTTGTTTAAGAATATAAAAGAAGTGGATGACGACAATTTTATACGATTATTCAGCATAAAAATGAAACTTATTTTTTAACAAAATATAATAAAAATGAAATTTCCGTTGAATTTGCACATGCATAGCGATAAAGCAAAAATTTCGACCTGCTTCATTAGTAGCGGTATTGATAATGAACTGTCTTTAAATATATCTGTTTTATTCGAAATCCCGAAGAACACAATCCCGAACGTTCATAAGCCCTCCGAATAATCAAAATCACGAATGAACGACCTCCCGAATAATCGAATAGTGCATTATTGATAATCTAACGAGATTCACGGAGAAAAGTTTGTACATCGTGACTTTCATCCCGGAAATATATTAATGTCGAGCATTTCTCAGCTCGCAACAAATATAGAAAAATTTTGTGAAGTATTTCCTTATTGGAAAGCCATATACTAACGCTAACAATAGATATTTATAAATTATAACAGGTAAACGAATTTGCTGATCAAAGTTTGTACAGTACATTAAGTATTTATAAAGGAATACATGTACACACACACATCTTCATACCGATACCACAATAAAATAAAACAAAATAAAATGACGACTGATTTATTGACTTCACATTCAAACAAGTTGGCCAAATTTTACGAAAAGGGCAATTTTTGTGATATTTCGATTATTGTTGGGGATGGAAAAAATGTACAGACCTTTACCGCACATTCATCTATTTTAATGACGCAATCCCAATATTTTGCCGTCGCGCTTTCTGATACGTGGGTGAAACGAGAACCAAAAAAAATGATCATTTTTAAGAAACCAAATATTTCGCCGCGTGTTTTTGAAATCTTATTAAGGTAATTAAGTTATAACTTGCATTGATACATGTATACAGTAAATAAAATTTATTTCATGATGGGCTAGATATATGTATTGCGGCAAAATCGACTTGAAAGAACATGGAGTGCCGACACTTTTAGGCTTATTGATTGCTGCGGATGAGTTGGTACTTGACGAATTGCTTGAATACATTCAAACCTTTCTTTTGGAGAATCACATCGAGTCGATGACTGAAAATTTTTCCTTGATCAATCAAGTCGTATTCGAACACGACTCTTTCACGAAACTTCACAAATTTTGCACAGATATTGCATGTCAAAATTCTGCCGCTATTTTTCAATCGAATGATTTTGCTAAACTTCAAGAAAACGCGTTAGTTTCTTTGCTCAAACGAGATGACTTAAATCTTCAAGAAATTGACATTTGGGAGAAGGTTCTTGAATGGGGAACTGCTCAACCTTTCAATTCTGAGAACGTTAATTTTAGAACCCCGTGGAGAAATGGACACAAAACGAATTTACACAATTAAAATTTGCGCTTAAACAATGTTTACCATTGATCCGTTTCTTCCACATAAATTCTGTGGACTTTTACAATAAAGTAATGCCCTATTCGGATCTCTTGTCAGCAAAGCTATTCAAGGATTTATTACATCATTATTTGGTTCCAGGAAGCGAAGATCTTCAAGCTAACAAACATCCTATTCGAAATTCAAATGATAATAATGCTGTTGTCTCCACAATACTTACTCGAAACCAAATCAATAAAATAAGTGGATGGATAAAGCCGCAAGAATTAACTCAATCGTTTGATTTGAAGCTATTGTTACGAGGAAGTCGAGATGGCTTAACTGCAGCTGATTTTCATCGACATTGTGATAACGTAGGTCCGACAGTAATTGCGATTAAAGTTAAAGATTCAGGAAAAATAATTGGTGGATATAATCCATCGGAATGGAATTCAAGAGAACAATGGTATGACACACAGAATAACTTTTTATTTCAATTTGACTCTAATGTATCCGATGGATTTATAAGTAAACTTATGATAAAAGAATTTAGTATTGGCTGCTTTTCATTATATGGACCAATTTTTGGATTAAGTGATTTAAGGTTATTCGATAAATATAATAGTAACTATTGTCAAAAATCATCATATGAACACGCTCTGATGAGCTCTGATAATACAAGAATTACTTTTAATGTTGATGATTATGAAGTATTTCAAATTTTGCAAAAATAATATAAAAACACAGTAGACACAAACTGAGAATATATACAAATAAATATTCGTAAAAATGCTCTAAATCATGCTTAGAATACTGTATATTAAATTATAATTCCTAAATTTTACCTTAAAAATAGTGAAAACTCACATTAACAATTAAAAATGATTAATTAGTAGCAACGAAAATTAAGCACAAAAATTTCAGTCTTTATCATTAATGAAAGTATATCAAAATAGTTCTCAAGCATGCAACTCGTAAAAACTCGAATCTTGCATATAGTAACCTTTAATGGTGTTACGCACTTCCTTTAAATATAATAAAGGGTGTCAGACCGAATAATTTACGATTAAAGTCTCTTTAATGTTCTAAAGGTTTCCCGTGGCTACTTATAAAAGTTAATTTTTATTACCATAGTTTCTGACAGCACTAAACTCTTCTACTTATACAATTTCTAGGACTATTCTAATCGTTGTGAGCTTTGTTAAACAAATGCTATGGTGGACGTGTTAAACGAATGCTAAGTCATGCGAAAAATAAAAATGATAAATAAACACCAAACGACGCGGAATTAAAAATAGCGTCAAATAAATATTATGAGAAGTTAAAACTAAGTGTTAAATAAATATTAAATTATGCGGGAGATGTGACAAACTTTAGGATTAAGTTGGTATCATAATTACGCGGAAATTAAGAAATTAATTAGTAACAATAAGCGTCTATTGACCAAAAGGATATCGAATTTCTAGTAACAAACGTCTAATAGAAAAGCCAAAATTCTTGTAGATTTTTTATATAAAGGTAGTCTTTTGAATAATTTCTTGCATCTCTTTAATGTAGATATAGAAACTTTTCAAAATCAAATTTCATCATTTACAAATACATGTGGTAGTAGTAGTAGCTGTCCGAGTTTGTTCTTAAATACATCAATTTGTGGAATTCGCTTAACATTAAAATGGAAATACAATGTAGCTTTATCTATAAATTTATCTTCGTTATTAGGTATTTAAACAATTTTATTGCTGAAATTTGATTTATTATTAACTGAATTGTATATGTTTTATCTAATAGCTAATTAATTTAAAGCTTATAAACTATTGTTAAATAATTGAGCAAATTTACAATGCTAAATTTTCTCTAGCTATAACATAACAACTGTGTTTTTCAAAGCGACTTTCTTTATAGTATATAAAAAAATCTATTAGTAAAAAATCCATTATATCAAGAGTTTATTAATAAAATCTATTATATCGTATAAAAGAGATACATGTACATTATCAAATTTTATATTAATAAAGTAAAATTTATCAATCAATAAAATTTTACTCAGTCCAAAATAAGGTCAAAGAAATATTTTGTTCATAATTTTGGAAATTTGCATTTTTATCAATACAGAGAACTCTCCCTAAGTGCACCCTCTATAAGTGCACACCCTCTCTAAATGCACTCTTTTGTTTGGTTCCAAGCTTGGACTATAATGCTAAGTGCACACTCTCTATATTCTGCACGTGCAATAGATTCTCTAGTTCGGGTTATATTAAAGCACTTCTCTAAATGCACACACACTACGTGATATTAATCACGTGTATATGTGATTAACCAATAGAATTTATTGGTGATTCTAATCAGTCTTACACTTATTTTTATTAGTCTTAAAGCAGTCACACACTTATTTATTAGTCTTAAAGCTTATTTTATTAGTTATCAGTCACATAGTTATTATTAATCTTAAAGCAGTCACGCATTTATTTATCAGTCTGCTCTTGACTATCCATTATAAAAATCCTGCTACAACACTCTGATTCACTATAATACTCTGATCCACTATGATACTCGTGATTATAACAATCATGAAACTCATGAGCTAGCTATAATAATCCCAATTGTTTTATCCATTATTTGTCATCACTCATGAAATACTCTTTTTCTTTACTTTTTAATAAACATGTTTCCAAAAAATAAAATAACTCTGACAGATGTCCAGAAGTATAAATTTTGCCTTCACACTATAATAATAAGAAGATCCAGAGTGAATATATGAATTGAATTGAACAAAAATGGAGAGTTAGAGTTAATAAGTCAATAATTATACAAATTTTCCAAACTAAAGAAAAGTGGCTAGTAACAGAAGTCACAAATTTAAAGACAAAGCATTATAAGTATATTACTATACCAGAACTTGAGCTTGCTCTCAAGGAATTTGTACTGGTCTATCAATATTGAACAATCTTGAATAATGCTTTATTGATCAAAAAAGCTAGATTAATAGTATGAAGAAGAAGTATCTGCTAACAAAAATACTATTACCGAGTCTTTACTCCAGTTGCAAGAGAAATATTCTAGTTATCCCTTTAATCAAATCTATAATATGAATGAAACTGAACTTTTTTATTAGTATATATCGTATATATTATTTATAATTTGTGATTTTTATCTTTAACTTATTTATAATATATTCTAGATTGGAGCCTGATCAAATATTAATGATACAGTATCTTGTTAGATATAAAAAAATAAGAATTAACTTTCTATCATATTATGCACAAATGTACTAACGCTAACCGAACTCGGGGTTATACCCTATGTAAATGTATATAAAGACTCAATTCACGCATTTTATAAAATGAACTCAAAGATGGAATCAAATATTCATCATTGTAAAGAATGAACTGATTGTCAAAAAATAGATACTGCGATAAGTCACAATATTCATGATTATAGTAAATTCATACACAATTGGGGTTGCGATGAGTGTTTCGATATCACAAAAGATGAATTGTCTAGCGGAGATAAAGATATCGACAATCTAATAAATACATGTATAAATATAAAAATATATTCGAATTGATTCCTTTTGAAAGATTTACCAACGTTGAATATCTTGCAAAAGAAGGTTTTGGGATAATTTATAAAGCAACCTGGTTGGATGGAGAAGTGAGTTATCCTTATTGGGATTATGAAGACAATATATTTTACACGAGATGGAGAAATTAAAATTTACATAATTCAAAGCAAATTATCCGGGAGTTTACACATGAGATAAGAATGAATATTTTCTACAAGGAAAGTTGCTTTTGTTCAAAATTAGAACATTAATATTGAATATTATGGAATAAAAAACGCAGTTACAATATTTTCAATAGTGATGTAAGCATTCAAAAGATGGTGGAAATCTAGCAAAAATCTACAGAGCGAAATTTATGCATAGTGGCTTTCATCCTGAAAATATATTATGTAAACGTCTCAAATTTCTGAGTTTGGACTTAGCATTCAAGCAGATATAGAAAAATCTAACCAAGAAATTTGTGGAATACTTTCTTATATGAGTCTAGAGGTATTAGTGGAAAGCCATGCACTAACGCTGTAGATATTTATAGCTTTGGAATGGTTATGTACGAGATCGTAACAAGTGGACGACCATTTGGTGAACGAAGTCACGAATTTTGTCTTATAAAGGAGTACGACCTACGATACCAAATAATATTCCCTGGTGGTGCAAATTTATTGGATCAACTGCCGAGGAACTTTGGGATTTTATCCTCTCTACTCGTTATCCAGCAGCTGTACAATTTACATTTTAAATACTACAGATATATAGAATATCCTAAAACAAATGAAGAAATCAAAGAGTGTTTTAAATTAGAGAGGCAGAAATTAGAAAAACATCATAAGGAAATGATGTCACAAAAAAGGACTTCTACGAATATAAAAAATAACGATAAAAGCAAATCCACTCAAATGCAATTTACACAAGTCGAATCTTTACTTCAAAATTAATATCAATCCCATCTGATAAGGTTCGAACATTTATTTTATATTACAACAAATGGCATTTCAAATTGATTAAATATCGAATATTTAGGTTCTACAAGCGTTAGTTAATAAATCTATGATGGATATCACATAACTTGCAACGCTCTTTTAATGGATCCTTTTTTTATAGTTTGTTTAAACTCATTCGAATATACTTCTCCGTGTATCACAGTCACTCCTTTATAAATTGCGCTCTTCTTATTTAAAATTAAAAAACAGTGGCAATATTAAAACTTATGTTTATTGAATGACATAAAATTCAAAATTTCGAACATTAATTACAGAATAATTAACATTTTTATAAAAATAACCCTATGCAAAGGAAACATGGAACTATTGTGTTCTTATTTAAGCGTCCTAGATATTTAAAACGTGTGACTTTAATATAACATAAGATATTGTCCCTCCAAAAGACATTACGTAAGAAATATCAGCGCCTTAATATAAACTGGGGAATTGATCGAATGGAAATCCAAATTCTACAAACACGTTTCAATAAGATACAAACATAGTCTCAATATCAACTGACTTTTCACATCAATTAAATTATTAGGTCTACAAGTATCAGATTGTACCTTCCAGACGATATCAGTATACCACACGAAATCAAAAGTAAAATAATATATGTCGTCTCTTAGCACAGAACCGAACCAACACATACAAATGGATAAGGATGAAAAAGTAGTTTTTTCGATAAAAAAGATAGAATAATAGCCATAGGGTACAACGTAATGCAAACATTTCTTTCCTGAGTGGAGACGAACTGTAAAATCATGAGATAAATTAATTGACATGGATTCAAGATGATTGTTACAAAATCCCGGGACTTCTCTTGTCGGACTCATGAAATGTTGGGATTATATTTTTTAAGAAGTTGAACACTACTGGTAAACAAAAGCTAATATTTGCTAAACCTGTTGTGAAAAAAAAAGATATCCTCGCAAAAGATTCCAATGAGCATTGCCAAGATAAGCAAACATAAACTTCTCCCAAATCTAAAAGATCGACCTTATCCTGCGTCGAAGATATTCTCGTAAAAAGATTTCAAAAAGCATGACCACGATACATTGCACCACCAATTTAGAGAATTAAAGGGTATTACGAAAAAATGGGGATAATAAAAATCTTTTTTTTTCGTGTTAATTTATAGAACTGTATTAGACGATTGCTCAGAATTTTATCACCTATTTCAAATATTTGGGTGATCATGTGAGTAAGAATCAGGTGATTAACGATTAGAAATGTAAGTGGGTGAGTTATTTTTGCAGGCCTCTGTAAATAATCTATTAATTCAGAATCTTCGATAATTGAACAATTGATTCGAAACAGACCACCAGACAATGATAATCAAATTTGAGTTTGTCTAATTAAATCATATTACCATAATTGTCGAATATTCATGGTTAAATTAAAAAAAAATCAAATATAAACTACTATTAAATACCTTTAATAAACTCAAAATTTTATTTTGCTATATTCGTAACTTCTAAATAATTTCGTAATTGATAGCTTAAAAAAATTGCATTCGATTCTAAATACAGTAATCTGGATAATCATTTAATAAAATAATAAATCGAATTATTAAAGGTAAAACATAAGCACACGTTAAAAGTACATATTGCAAACGCCTTGTTATAGTTAAACAATCACAAAGACCAAAACTTCGAAATTATCAAGGTAAGTTTAAAAATCTTAATATAGTCATAAGAAATAAAACCGAAAGAGAGAGGAAACCGAGGGTTCCTATTAATTAATAAAAGAGAATTGTCAATGCCAGCCATCATCGCCATCATCAACGGAAACAAAACCATTAACCCAACCACCACCGTAATAGCATACAAAATCCAATTACGTCTACTTATAAAACGAGACAACGTGAAAGTTGTATATAACGTGGCAAGTCATCAACAGAATTCTGCGCTCCGTGATCCGAATATATTGTCGGGTGAAATTGTTACCGAGTCGATGTATTAGTCCTATATATTGAAAGGATGGTAAGCAAGTTTTGAATCATCATCAATCAAGTTTGATTCATCATAGCAATAATAAACATCTATGTTGTGCTAGCATATTAGTAGACTCATTCACAGCATTAGCACACATGATATGCCTTGGCCAACTAATAGCATGTCATCACAGCTTAGTATACATGATGAGCCATAGCAGTCGTCATAGCACTTCTGACTAGATGATTTGCGTCCTCGGCAGGCTAGTCCGCTTACTCACCCTTAAAAATAAGGATAGCAAGTCCTCAAATATACAAGGATAGCAAGTGATCGAGTGATAACAAATCCCCCAATTCGGCTAGTCGCTCATCGAGGCCACATAAAACATCGTAGCGCGTTAGCACCCCTGACGTGCCTTGGCAACTAATAGCATATTATCACAGCGCTTTAACACAATCATTGCTATGCTAAAGCACACATGATGTGTCTTGGCAAGCTAATCATCACAGCACTTCAGCCTACATGGTGTGTCCTGAACTAATAGCCTAATCACAACGTTCTAATAATAACATTCTAAAACTTGCCTTTAAATCCATTAGCATTTGATTCGCATAATATTTAGCGAGATCCTCGAGGCTCCAATTATCGACCCACATCGGGTCTATCGAAACTAAAAAAGTATACATATATTAAGAAAGGAAAATATGCATAAGTTTTTTTAGAGGTAATAAGATAATTTTTTTGTAATAATCAAGAAATTAAACGTTTTAAGTAGTTGCGAGAGGAAAACGGAATTGTACACGTAGATAATCATTTAGCAAGTGTGTGCACCCACTCACCTATTTAAATAAATTTTCTAAAGCCTGTTAATTTGCGCACGACTTAGTGTATTTGGAATGCTGTTCATGTGATAAATCGTTCGTTTGAAATGTTTGGATTGTATCACAGGTGTGCAACGAAAAAAAAGGTAAGCAAATATAAACTTACACTTCTTCCAAATCTAAAAGGTCGACCTTATCCTGCATCGAATATTTGATCATTAACCTCACATAAAATGATTCAGATTAAGATCGATGATATTCTAGCAAAAGATTTCAAGGAGCGTGACCAAGAAACATTCACTTAGCAAGTATGTGCACCCACTCACCTATATGATTAAGATTCTGAAGCATGTAATCTGATATCATGGCCACATCGTATGCTAAAGGATTAGCAGATCAATAATCTTAATAATATTGAAGGAACTTTTGATGACATTTGAGTTTGGTTAATAAAGTAAACAAGACTGAGTGGACAAGTAAACCAAAGTAGACGAGTGACAAGCGAGAGCAACAAGAGCGAAAGTGTGAGGGCGCGAATAGGCGAGAGATAGTAAGTGTGGGCAAAACGAACAACCAAAATAAGTGAGTGAAATTTTGGAGGATAACGAGCAAAGCTAACAAGCAAAAGTGAATATAGACAAGAATATGAATAAAGAGAGAAGAGAATAAGAGAGAAGAGAATAAGAGAGAAGAAAGAAAAAAGTGAGCAAGAGAAAAGAAAGTAAGGGAAAAGCAAATGAGATGAATGAAACCTTTTATAAATAAATTAATCATATGTTTGTTGTGATGCATTTGTTTATTATGCAATGGTCAAAATAGGAATAATAATTTTTGAAGTCCATGTTTGATGTATTATATTTGTCAGCCACAGCCATATCAATATAGTATAGCCCTGTAATTTATATTGTTCCACAATATTTAATATTATATCAATATAAGTAACATTATTATGTATTATTAATAGTGAGCTTGCAAATGATGTAAATTTATATTCCCATAGTATTAATATTATTTTTGACATAAGTAACGTCATGTTAGGGAATAATTATTATTAATAGTGATCATGGATATCTTGCAAATGATGTAAATGCTCTATTTTTAGTATTATTAAAACTTTCAAAGATAACTACATGTATTTGATAAATTGATTATTATATATATATATTGAACGATATTATAATTTATATGGTAACAAATGATGTATTTGCAAGATTTGAGTTTAATTGAAAAATGCTTTAAACAGTAAAACTCTAGTAAAATATTTAGAACTACTGTTGCAAACTTATGGTTGTGCTTTACATTTCTTAAGATGTAACTCAAGACATAACGACACTTTAGAAAGCCACAACTGGATGTTTGTCATAATATTAGAAGTATAATGTAAATTCGAGATGAATTTAAAAAAATCGATTATTTATTAATTCAACATTTAATGGTAAATCAACAAGATTCTCAGTTTTAAGTACATACTTTCTTTATCATTAATTAGTTCTCTATCAGTAGGAATTTCTTACGAACCTTCGAAATGTACGTTTATTATACGTTATTTCCTTAAACCTTCAAAATTCATACCAAAATTTATATTTTGTGTTGTACATAATAATTTTACTTTATTTTTTCTATAATTCCAATTATTATTCATGCCTTTTTGTAGAAATTCTTATAAAAATTCATATTTTGTACGTACAATAGTAACCCGCGAATTTTTGAATATACTTACAGCTTGTAAATAGATGGTTATATAGTAATCAAGAGTTCATACACAAACACTTTCTAAAGTGAAAACCGAGTTAACTTCTTTTTCAAATACAATCAAATTTTTCAAAAATAGATTCAAACGAGGCTTTAATGTTATGATTACGGCTACTTTGATACATGTACTAAAGTGTGATCAGCCATAGAAAAAAAAGATAGACCCCGAGTAATTTGCTTTACTTTGGAATAAATGTAAACTATTTTATTTCTTTCTAAAGTAATCCCTTTAAAATATTTATTAATCTTTTCAGTCCAATTGAATCGTGTAATGATTTCAACACAACTTTTCTTTACCTCTTAGTTTCAATATATTTTCTTCATGATCCCAATATTTAGTTATTGGTAAATCCAATTATTTTGCTTTACAAATTGACCCAATTCTCCTTTTGCAAGATATTCAACGGTAAAACTTTCAAAAGGAATCCATTCGAATATATCTGCATTTTTATAATTAATTTTGTTGCATCCTTTTTTAGTAGATTGTCAATATCTTTGTCGCCGCTAGACAATTCATCGTTATAAATTTGTTTGTGATATCTGAAACAGTCTTCGCAGTCATGATTTCTTTGACAACTCCACATTTACTACAATCATGAATGTTGTGAACTAAACAGTTATCAATTTTTTGACAATAGTAAAAATTCATTACAATGATCAAAAAATTCGATCCCCTTTGAGCTCACTGGATAAAATGCGTGAATTGGTTGAAATGATAGTAAAATGACGAGATAATCTTTGGCATATCCATGTATGTCCCATGTATGTAACGATAGGAATTCAAATGTTCGTTTCTTTGCAAGTAAAAAAAGATCTATATTATGCTTTCAACATTTACAGTCTATCAGAGTGCCTTGAAATAACATTGATTTTCATAAATCAAACCGATTTATATTCTTAACACGACAATAACAAATAACAAGAAGACACGCACCAACTTTAAATGCATTAGTGATCCTACCGGTTAACCGTATAATTTTTTTGCTGTTACTACGGTTAAGCGGTTATATTTCAATATATAGTAATTTTCAATTGTTAAAAATAATAGGATAAAGAACTTAGGAAAGCGAGTGTAAATCCTATTAGAAATATATTGTTACCCATTGATCATTTTTTAGTAAAAAATATTAAATATACGTGCGTAAATACAAAGAAATTGAAATCACTTTTGGTTCGTGTTATGATCAGTTATCCACAGTCTATTTTGCAAGTCACTTGACATTTTAATTCCCAAAGAATGGCAGAACTGAAAACAATTGCGAAATATTCACCTTTTTATTTTTTTTCTAATATATATAAATATATAGCTATAGTTAATATAAACATCTTTGTAGATAGATACCAAATGGACGTTCACTAGTTGCCACCTCATACACAACCATCCCAAAGTTAATTAATTCTGTTCAACCCATATGTATTTTATTTCTAGATTATTATTAATTTATTCATATTTTGTATTTATTTCATTTCTTATAAATAAGATCTCTCTATTCTGTAATTAACTTTAGATCTGAATCCTTTTAAAAAATAAAAATAATCATAAGTTATAAAATTAAAACTGTTCATATCATATTTTATCTTGTTTACAACTATTAACAAAATAATCTTACATTATTATAAAAAAAATAATTTATAAAAATAATTTAGAAAAGAGATAAAATTATAAAAAAAGAATAAAATAAGTCAAAAAATTTATAATAATTAATAAGTAAAGCTATTATCAATTAAACTAAAATAATATAATATAACTAATATAAATTAAAAATAATCAAATCAAAATCATAAAGATATAAAAATTAAAAATATCAAATCAAAAATATAAAAATATTAAACTCAAAAATATTAAAGTCAAAAATTCTAATCAGAATTAATATAATATTATAATAAAAATTTAAAATCAACTTTATATAATTAAAAAAATAAAACTGACTGAGAGAAAGAATATTAATATAATTAGAAAAGGAATTAAAAGATTATTATTATAATAATAAGCTTTTTAATTATATTTTCTAAATAATTCAATTCAAAACTATTTATTTTAATTTGAATAAGCAAATTCTTTTATATATTTTCTTTAATATAAAAATTATAATATTACTAGTTAATATTATCTAATATATAAATTGTAATTTTATATTAAGATTTTGATATTAATATTTTCAGATCAAGATTAATATTAATATTTCAAGACTAAAATTTTAAATATAAAGAAATAAATATAAAAGAAGAAATCTATAAATATATTAATTAATCAATCTTTTAAATATTACTAAAAATAATATATATATATATATAAAATATTAATATTAATATAATATAGTTATAATTAAAAGAATAAATCTCAAATTTAGAATAATAAAAATAAAAAAAATAAATAAATATAATATTTAGAAAATAAATATAAGATTTTAAAATATAAATATAATAAATAATAAATATAATAAATAATAAATATAATTAAATAAGATAAATTATATAATAAATTATAAAATAAAAAAAAATAAAATTTCAAATAATAAAAAAAAATTATTGAATTAAAGAAATTTATATTACTATAATAATATTTGATTATTCTTGAATAAATTTTTGCTTATGTAAAAATTAAATAATAAATTTGAATATCTTTTCTCTTTTTAAATAAAATAACTTGAATAGAGTAAAATCAAACT